TGCGTGTGCGTGTGCGTGTGCGTGTGCGTGTGTGTGTGCGTGTGCGTTGCGTGTGTGCGTGTGCTGTGTGGCGTGTGCGTGTGCGTGTGCGTGTGCGTGCGTGTGCGTGTGCGTGTCGTGTGTGCGTGTGCGTGTGCGTGTGCGTGTGCGTGTGCGTGTGCGGGTGCGTGGGCGTGTTGCGTGTGCGTGTGCGTGTGCGGTGCGTGTGCGTGTGCGTGTGCGTGTGCGTTGCGTGTGTGGCGTGTGCGTGTGCGTGTGCGTGTTGTGCGTGTGCGTGTGTGCGTGTGCGTGTGTGTGTGTGTGTGTGTGTGTGTGCGGGGGGGGGGTTTGGTGTGTGTGTGTGTGGGTGTGTGTGGGTGGGTGTGTGTGGGTGTGTGTGTTCGTTCGTCAGAACCACCAGGCAGGGAGCCACACACAGAGCACCAACCAGATGGCACGGCACGGGACCCGCCATGGCGGCGGGCTGCGGCCCCCGCGGAGCCGGGGCCGGGCAGCGACGGCCCGCGGCGGCCACCAGAGAGCCGGAGGCAGCGGGGGCCACAAAGCACCAGCCATCGGACCGGCTGCGGCCCTGAGGGACCCGCAGACGGGAAACCATCCATATATCATATATATATATATATACACATAGATATATACACACATCTCTCTCTCTCTCATATATATACATATAATGAACAAGAACAAGCGGCACCAACATAAACTTTTGGCGCTCCGCGCGGACTTCTCGGATCCACGCAGGGCCCCCCCTGGCGGCGCCTCCGGCGCCGCCCCTGGCGCGCTCCGCGCGCCAGGGAGGGGTGTCCACCGCAGGTCGAAGAAATCCGCGCGGAGCGCCAAAAGGTCATGTTAATGTCGTTTGGATCTTCTTCGAATAAAGAGCCCAAACCACCAGGCACCGAGCGGGAACATGCCGACTGCGGCCCTCAGGGAACCACAGACAGGGGACCACAGAGCACAACCATGGGGCCCACTCGCGGGATCATCCCGACTGAGCCACGATAGAGCACCAATCAGAAGGCACCGAGCGGGAACATGCCGACTGCGGCCCTCAGGGAACAGGAAACCATGGGGCACCAACCATGTGGCGCAAAACGGGAATATGCCAGCGGCGGTCCACGAGGAACTATAAACAGGAAGCCACTGGGCACCAATCATGGAGCACACGCCGGGATCGGCCAGCTGCGGCCCACAGGGCCAGTTCCTCAGAAGCCACACCAGAAACCTTAAGTACAAGCACTGGTTGGCAATAGATGCTCAGATGTCCATGCCATAACTTTACTACAGATGTCATATCTGTGTTTGGGGTGTCGATGACTAGGCTAACGCCAACAAGGGTCAAAAACTAACCATCACCTCCGTACGCAAAAAGAACTGGGTCAAGGTCGAACACCCGAAAATCCACAATTCCCGAATCCCATCCGCCCCAGTAGACTCCAGGACCTCAAAACAGTTGGTGGACAGTGAGTCACAGCTCCTCCTCCTCCTCCTCCTCCTCCTCGTCATCATCATCATCATCATCATCATCATCATCATCATCATCATCATCATCACCACCACCACCACCACCACCACCATCATCATCATCATCATCATCATCATCATCATCATCATCATCATCATCGTCATCGTCATCGTCATCGTCATCGTCATCATCAGCAGCAGCGTCAGCAGCATCATCACCACCATCAGTATCATCACCATCACCATCATCATCATCATGATCATCATTATCGGCATCGTCATCGTCATCGTCATCATCATTATCAGTGCCAGTATCGGTGGCATCATGACCCTACTAATCGCCAACCTCATCATAAAAGAAAACAGGTTCATCATCGTACTAGTCCTCCTCCTCAACATCACCATCGTGATCCTCATCAGCATCGTCCTCAACATCATCCTCTTCACAAGCAGCAGCATCACCACCATCGTCATCATCATCATCAGCAGCACCACCACCACCATCATCATCATCAACAACATCATCATCATCATGATCATCATCATCATCATCATCACCATGCGGAAAAATCCTCGTCACTATCAGCAGGATCATCAGCATCAGCAGCATCATCATCAGCCTCAACGTTGTCATCAACAACATCGTCATTGTCATCATCATCATCAGCAGCATCATTGTCACCATCGTCATCATCATCAGCAGCAGCGTCAGCAGAAGCAGCGTCAGCACAATCGTCATCATCATCATCAGCAGCAGCAGCACTTTAATCATCACCACAACCACCATGATCTGCATCATCAGCATCATCATCACCACCATCATCATCATCAACATCATCATCAGCAACATCATCATCATAATCGCCATCAGCAGCAGCAGCAGCAGCAGCATCTCGTCGGGGACGCCAGGGCAACAAGGTGTCGCGGACATGGATAGATACCCCTCCCCCCGGTACCCGAATATGCATATGAATCTCCTCCGCTGTATGTTCACTATCTGGGCGGGGCGACAACCCGTCCCTCCCCCCCCGAAACTCGGACTCCCGGAATTCAGGGCTTTCGGGCCCCCTGGACGTTCTCGGAAAAGGTCCACCGGCCGTGCCAGCAGACCCGAAACAGCACAAGAGCGCTCCAAGAATGACCTAGATTTGTTTGTTTTGTTTGTTTCTTTTTTGCTCCAAGAATGACCTAGATTGCCGTCGAGACGCCCCAGAAAGCCCTCAAGAACACCCCACTAGAGGCATACGTCGTTCCGCTCCCTTCGGGAAACGTACATCTGCTTAACAGATTCGTAACTTGTACATCGCTGCGTCCACGACGGCCAAAGAGCCTCCCTTAAGTGCCCCAAGATGGCCCAGGCGCCCTTCAAAAGAGCTCCAAGACGACCTCAAAGGGCCCCAAGACAGCCCAAGAGAGCCCCAAGATGACTTCAAGGGGGCCCGAAAAAGCTCCCAAGGGAGGCCCAAGAGTCGGCCAAGGGAGGCCCCCAAGACATCCTGCAGGATGGCTCCAGGGGCCCCCAGGGGCCCGAAAACGGCCCAAAAGGGTCCAAGAAGGACCCCCAAGAAGGCCTGGTTGCGAAAGGCCGGAGAGTACACAGGCCCGGTCGCGACGGGCTCGAGGGAGCCCACAGAGGCCTCCAACACGCCCAAGAAGCCTCCAGAGGTCCCCGAAGCCCCTGAGAGGCAGTTGCGCAAGCGGACGGAGATTCCTTCCCGCGTCGTTGCTGCCTCTCCGCATGTCGGAATCATCGTCCCACCGAGGTTTCGCGACGTCGGCTTCCCACCGAGGATTTCTCGGCACGCATTCGCAGTTCTTTCCATTGCATTGCATTGCGCGGTCGGGAAAACCAGGCCACGAGCGAGCCCATGTGATAGGCACACGGTGGTCCCCGAACGTCATTATTTGCACGGCTGCGCGTCTTCCAGGAAACGATTTCCCACGAAAACTTAAATGAACCCGAACCCTCGATTCAGTGCATGTCCGTCGCGAACCCGCGATTCGGCGCATATCCCAAGAATGCCGTGCTTCAGCGCGCCCCGCTGCCACTCCTTAGCTTCGGAGCGATGCTCGGCTGAAGGTTGCCATTCGCTGACTACGTGACAATGACATCCTGGATTTGGCATTGCTTCGTATTCTGCGGCGTTGCCTACCATTGCGTTGTTTTGTTTGGCACTCATTCGCATGGCTTCCCACCGCCTCTCATGGGCCCATGCGCGGGGGGGCGCAAGCGGCATTCAGGAGCTACCAGCCACCGCTATGCTTGGTTGTAAAAAAAAGACGCCCCCCACATTTCGCCTGCACGCCGAACTTGAAGGAGCAAAGTGAATGGCGCGTAGCGCCATTGCCGTAGTGTACATATTTACATGTGCGTAGACATAGACACAGACAGTTCTATATACTTATACGCATACATATACACTTACACTTACTTATAGCTGCACGCATCGATATATATATATATATATATATATATATATATGTATATATATATGTATATATACATATATACATATACATTTACATATATGCGCATCCGTGAACAAAACCGATACACATATACATATATGGCCGATTCCAGATACCCTGAACCCAAAAATGTTGTCATCTATTGGGAGGTCGACTTTTGCTTCCGCCGGCTGCCGCCGGCCTTCCGCTGGCCTCCGCCAGCGGAGGCGGTCCAATTTTACTTCCGCCGCCCTCCACCGCGGAAGAAATGATAACTACTTCGATCCTCGACGACAAGGCCCTTGGTGGAACGCCCAGTAGCATACATATATATATATACATACATACATACACACACATACATACACACATACATACATACATACATACATACATACATCCATCCATACATATATACATACATACATACATACATACATACATACATACATACATACATACATACATACATACATACATACATACATACATAGACACACACATACATACATACATACATACATACATACATACATACATACATGCATGCATACATACATACATACATACATACATACATACATACACACATGCACACGCACATACATACATACATACACACACATACAGACATACATACATACATACATACATACGTACGTACGTACGTACGTACATACATACATACATACATACATACATACATACATACACCCACATACATACATACATACATACATACACACATACATGCATACATACATACATACATGCATACATACATGCATATGCATACGTACACACACATATATATCGTATACGCTATACATGCACATAAACATTCACGAATACATATGCACACACATAAACATATACACACATTCAGATTCAGATTCGCATCCATATCCATACCGATATCCAAATCCGTGCCCGCCACCTGCCGAGGTCCCCGAGGATCGTTCCCCCCGGACGAGGGCTGTGGCTCAAATCCCCACCTCGGAGCAGCGACGCCGCCGAGGAAAACGACGACGACGACGACGACGACGACGACGACGACGACGACCGCTTCGCGGACCCCGGGCGCGGACCCCGCCGTCACGCGGAAGGGCCCCGCGGCCGCGCTGGCGCGGTAGGTCAGCACCCCGGCGCGCAGGTGGCCCTCCACGCCGCAGACGCCCGACCTGCAAGACGCAGCCAAAACGAAGCAAACATCGCGTGAGGACAAATCCGCCGATCCGGCGTGTGAGTTTCTGAGAGCGTGGACTTGAACTCGCTCAAGCTTCGCTCTGCAGGGGGGGGGGGGCGTACGTTATTTCCGACGTCATTTCCGACGTTTTTCGGTACACGGGGATATTTCCGACGTCATTTCCGACGTTGTTCGGTACCCGGGGACAGGGGGGTATAAAAAACCCCACTTCCGGAGCCCCCCCGGATCGGCGGCACTGGCCGGAGGCCAGCCCAATAGAGAACCTTTGAGATCCTGCGGCTCGGGAGGGCGTCTCGGGCGCCGCGGCCTCCTCAGGGCGTTCCGGCACGCTCTGAGGGCGTTCTGGCCCGCTCCGGGAGGGATCTATCCTCGTCCCGGCCCCGTCCGAGCCTGGCCGAGGCTGCTCTGGGGCCGAGCGTTCCGGCACGCTCCGAGAGCGCTCCGGCACGCTCTGGGGGGGGACTTATCCTCGTCCCGGCCCCGCCCGAGCCTGGCCGAGACTGCTTTGGGGGGCCGAGCCGCCGCAGAGCGCCTCGCTCGCGGAGGGCAGCGCACAGCGCTGCAGAGCCGGGGGAGCACGGCGCGCGGTCCACCGAAGGGCCCAGCGCGGGGTCCACCGCAGGGCCCCCGGGCGGGCCCCCAGGCGGCCCACGGACGGGCCCCACGAGGGCCCAGAGCTGGCCCCAATGAGGGCAGGCGGAGGGGCCCCAGGCGGCCTACGCAGGGTGGCCTCCCCCTCCTCCTCCTCCTCCTCCTCCTCCTCCTCCTCCTCCTCCTCCTCCGCCTCCTCCTCCTCTATTTCTCCTCCCGCCCCCCTCTTCCTCCTTATCATCTAGACCCCTCGGCCCCCAAGCACCCGGACGGCCACGGGAGCTCCGAGGCGGACCCATCGGGCCCCACGTCGGCCCACACCGGCACGCGAGAGCCCCTCGAGAAGTGGAGACGAGAGGTGTCACATGCGGCGACCTTCCTCTACTTCCTCCTCCTCCTCCTGCGCCGCCACCTCCTCATCCTCATTCTCACCCTCACCCTCACCCTCATCCTCATCCTCATCCTCATCCTCATCGTCATCATGGTCCTCACCCACCTCGTCAACCACTACGTATCCTCCTTTCTCTTCTCATCCTCTTCCTCCTCCTCCTTCTCCTCCTCATCCACCTCATCCTCTCCTCCTCCTCCTCGTCCTCCTCCTCCTCCTCCTCTTCCTCCTTATCCTTCTCCTCCTCCTCCTCCTCCTTCTCCTCCTCCTCTATTGCTCCTCCCTCCCCCCTCTTCCTCCTTATCATATGTATTCCCTTCGTCCTCCTACTCCGCCTCAGGACGGCCGCGCAATCCAAGATGGCCCCGAGACGACCGATGCGCCACATGCTACGACCGCTTGAGCGTTGTTCGGAACGTCGCCACACAGAGGATTGGGCAGAATGAAAGAAGAGGAATGACGAGGTGGTGGGACAAGAGGAGCCAGAAGAAAGGGACATGGCGAATCAACAAGACTGACGCGGAGGACAAGAAGAGACTGGCACGAAACGGAAGAACGTGTCACATGTTACGGCCTTCCCAAGCCTGGGGGCACGAGATGTCACAAGCTACAGCCTCCTATGTGCATCCGAACAGCCGCCGCACAGAGTGCTGAGCTGGCACGTTGGCAGGACTTGCCGTAGGCAAACAAGAACAGAGAAAGCTTACCCACACAACCTTGGCGAATGTTATGGCCAACCGGTCACATCATGTGCAAGCTTGTCAAAGATCCGCTGGCCCCACTGGGAGCGCGAGTCTGTAAAACGTCCTGCGGGACTGCTGTCTTGCTTCATGTGTTATGACGTCTGTGTTAGTTGTCTCTCGTCTCCCCAATCCTGTCTCGCTCACACTGTACACCACCCGGGGGCTTCAGCCTGCTGGTCGCTCCAAGTGGCCCTGGGCTTCCGACAGGGACGCCAACCGACGGCCAAGAGAACCCAAACTGCTTCGAGGACGCCCCCCCCCCCCCGGAGGCTGCGAGGGAGGCCCTCTGGCGCGCCCAGGGCTGCCGAAGTTGGCCCGCGGGTGCTCTCGATATGGCCCAGGGAGGAGCCCCGAGAGGCCCCCGAGCGAGCAGAGCAGCTCGCGAAAACCACACCCGGGGTGCGCACCGCGGGGGGGGCGCCGGTCTGACCCCAGAAGGCCCCAGAGCGTCCCAGCGGAGCCACGGGGCGGCTCGGCCTGGGGTTCAGTCGGGCCCGTCCCTCTACAGGGGGGAATGTTGAAAAATAGTCTAGAAATAGTCAGGGGGCTATTTTTTGCATATTTCTTGGCATCTCTTGCATATTTTTGAATATCTTTATTTTTCGTCCAAAATCCCCTTGTAGGAGGACAGGCCCCAGAGCGTCCCAGCGAAGACACGGGGTGGCTCGGCCTGGGGTTCAGTCGGGCCTGTCCCTCTGCAGGGGGGGAAGTTGAAAAATATAATATTAAAAAATAGTCTGGGGGCTATTTCTTGCATTTATTGGCATATCTTGAAGATTTTTTTGATATCTTTACTCTTCGTCCAATATCACCCTGTAGGAGGGGAGGCCCGACCTAAGATTTGGGGGACCGCGTGCGAGGGCGAGGCCCTCCAGATGCGCTCGTCTGTGGCAGACGGCCCACGACAAAACCCAAGAGACCCCCCAAGACGGCATCCCGAGACGCTCCCAGGCAGTTCAACAGCAGGCCTGCCATGGCACCCCCTCTCCCTCCCCCGCCACCTCCACACTGCCATCTTCCTCTTGCTCTCCATTATCCTCCTCCTCCTCCACAGACTGCTCCTCCTCACATTATTCCTCTTCCGCCACCTTCTCCTCTTCCACCTCCTCGTCCTCCCTCCTCCTCCTCATCCTCGTCCTCCTCTTTTCCTCCTCCTCCTCCTGCTCCTCCTTCTCCTCTTCCTCTTCCTCCTCCTCCTCATCATTATCGTCCTCTTTCTCCTCCCCTTTGCGAATGTCTAACTACTTCTGATCTTCCCCCTCCTCATCCTGGCTATTATGTTCCTTCTCCTCCTCCTCCTCCTCCTCCTCTTCCTCCTCCTGCTCCCTCTCCTCCCCCTCCTCCTCCGCCTCCTTTCCCTCTCCCTTTCCGCCTCCACCTCCTCATTTCCATCCTCATCCTCGACCCATGACTTGTCCGTATGCTTGTGTTCGTCCAAGGCTTGTCGTCGTTCTCCTCCCCCTACTGCCCCTCCCCCTCCCCCCCCCTCCCTCGCCCGCCCCCCCCCCCCGGCGCTCTCCCAGAAGGCCGCAAGATATCCCCGAGAGATCTCCGACGCCTCCAGGAAGGGCCCAAGCGCCCCTAGGAGACCCGAGCGAAACATTCGAGACCCAGTCGGCCCGTGTCAGACACAATGCGACTTCAACAAGGCGTACTCGTAGTCGCCAAACTCCCAGGCAGCGACCGGTGATGCGCCGACGGAGCTCCCGATATGCCAATGTGTACCGTGCACATCTGTTTACAGGGTTCGGGGGTGAAAGGACCCCCCCTGCAAAATGGCAGCGGGCGTAAACCATTCAAACCTCTTCCATCCTCCTCCTCCTCCACCTCCTCTTCCTCCTCCTCCTCCTCCCTCTTCCTCCTCCTCTTCGCTTTCCTCTTCCTCCTCCTCCTCGGACGTATCCAAAGGGGGGTTCGTAGGTCATCACGCCTCAACCTCAGCCTGACGTAAGGTTGAGATCGAAAGCCTCAACCTCAGCCTGATGCAAGAGACCAGTGGAAAGCCTCACAGCAGGAATCCTTTGGAAAGCTCCACAAAGGGATTATATTGGAAAGCCTCACGCAAGGAATCCTTTGGAAAGCTCCACAAAGGGATTCCTTTGGAAAGCCTCACAAAAAGGAATCCTTTGGAAAGCATCACAAAGGAATTGGACTGGAAAGCCTTACAAAAGGAATCCTTTGGAAAGTACCACAAAGGAATTTTATGGGAAAGCCTCACAAAATGAATCCTTTGGAAAGCACCACGAAGGGATTCTATTGGAAAGCCGCACAAAAGGAATCCTTCGGAGAGCACCACAAAGGAATTCTTTGGGAAAGCCTCACGCAAGGAATCCTTCGGAAAGCACCACAACGGGATTCTATTGGAAAGCCTCACAGCAGGAATCCTTTGGAAAGCACCGCAAAGGGATTCTATTGGAAAGCCTCACAGCAAGAATCCTTTGAGCACCACAAAGGGATTCTATTGGAAAGCATCACAAAAAGAATCCTGTGGAAAGCACCACAAAAGGAATTCGATTGGAAAGCCTCACAAGAGGGAATCCGTTCGACAGCACCACAAAGGGATTATATTGGAAAGCCGCACCTGCGGCGCCTTCTTCTCCTCCCTCTTTCTCTCGTTGTAGCGGCGGTTCCGCTCTCGCTTCCGCTCGAAAGCCTCAGTGCCTGGCTTTGGGTTCCCCATTGCTGGGGGAAAAAAGCAGGGAGTGGCGCAGCGAGCTGCTTGAGCCTCGGTCGGGGCGCAGCGTGCTAGCTGGCGTTAGCTGCCCCCTCTTCCTCCTCCTCCTCCTCTTCCTCCTCCTCCTCCTCCTCCTCCTCCTCCTCATTATCCTCCTCCTCTTCCTCCTCCTCCTCCTCCTGCCCCTCCCCCTCCTCCTCCTCCTCCTCCTCCTCCTCCTCCCCCTCCTCCCCTCCTCCTCCTCCTCCTCCTCCTCTCCTCCTCCTCCTCCTCCTCCTCCTCCTCCTCCTCCTCTACTCCTCCCCCTCCCCCCCTCCTCCTCCTCCTCCTCCTCCTCCCCTCCTCCTCCTCCTCCTCCTCCTCCTCCTTCTTCTCCTCCTCCTCCTCCTCCTCCTCTCCTCCTCCTCCTCCTCCTCCTCCTCCTCCTCCTCCTCCTCCTCCCTCCTCCTCCTCCTCCTCCTCCTCCTCCTCCTCCTCCTCCTCTCCTCACCCTCCTCCTCCTCCTCCTCCTCCTCCTCCTCCTCCATCCCCTCCTCCTCCTCCTCCTCCTCCTCTTCCTCCTCCTCCTCCTTCCACAACGGCAAGGAAAACCACAGAAAACCAAAGGAAAAAAACCCAAACCAAAGAAACCAAAGGGCTGGAGCAGAAAACCATAGAAAAACCTAAGGAAAAACAAAAAACGAAACAAACAAAGATTCACATACCTACCCTTCCCACACCTACGCTCCACCGAGAAGGGTGCCTGATGTTTGTTTTTTTGTTTTTTTGTGGTTCTTTAGGTTTTTGCTTAGTTTTCAATTCCAAGCCTTTGGTTTCTTTCTTTGTTTTGTTTGTTTGTCCTTAGGTGTTTGTTATTTTTCTGCAACACACCTGTTATTTCCTTTGGTTTTCTTTTGTTTTTCCTTGCCGCTGTGGGAGGATGGAGGAGGGGAAGGGGGGATGAAGGCGGTTGGGGAGGGAGGGGAAATGAAGAGGAGGAGGAAGAGGAGGAGGAGGAGGAGGAGGAGGAGGAAGAGAAGGGGAAGGAGGAATAGGAGGAGAAGGAGACGGAGGAACATAATGAGGAGGAGGAGGAGGAGGATAGCAGAGGTTTCACTGGTTCACGCCCGCTTTCATTTTCCAGGGGGCCCCCTTTCACCCCGAAGCCGTTTACAGCATCAGTGAATACGCCTTGCTCAGCATGTGTTAAGGCAACCTGGCAAAACATATCACTTAAGTACACACGCACGACACAGATAGCAAACGCGTATACTGCACACAAGATGCACTGGCTTACTAAATAATAGAAAAGAGTGCCAGGGTGAAGAGTGCCGGCGCACAGGGTGCGCAGAGGGGCGTGTGCCGAGCAGCGCTTGGCCAGCAGTGCCGTCAGCCCGTACAGTGAGGATGCGCGGTAAGGATGCAAGGGCCCTGGGAGGCCACTTGGCGCGCGGCGCGGCAAGCGAGAGCGGCCAAGGATGCGCCGAAGGGGAAGGATGCAATCGTACACGCCGGTCGGAAGAAGTAGGTAGAAACATGAAGTAGGAAGGCGGATATAGTGGATTGGGTCCAGGCCCTCCCAGAGAATGACAAAACACAGCAAAAGCATGTCGACTCTTGAAGTAGGAAGGCGCTTGAAGTAGAGTGGGAACTGGAAATCCAAAAATACAAACTTTCAACGACCGGCGTGTAACCTTGGAAAGTCGCTCGTCCTCACTATGCGGGTTGACTGCAGCCCGCGCCCTGGGGCAAGCAGAAGAGCCCTGTGCAAGGCGCACAAGGCCCCCCCTGCACGAGGCCTCCGCACGGGACTCGCGCGAGTTCGCTTTATGGTGAAAAGTAATACACACGTTCAGCACAGCAGATCACACACGCCAGACTCTTCGATGGGCGCTTCAAGAATCAATCAGGTAGCATCGCCGACAAGCGCAGTCAAGTGAGCAATCTGTCTCAGGGGACCCCTCGGTAATTTCCGCCGAGAACCTCCGCGGCAACGGGACCGGCAGTGTCGGGGATGAGCCTCGAAAGATGGAGCCGAGAAAGCGCCCAGAGGAGCTCAAACTCGCCAGATACCCCATGAGGCAAGCTTTTCACCAGAGCCTCGCTATCGCCTCGGCGCCTGCCATACACGCCGATCGTTCAGAGCGGGCATTTCGGACTCCCAGATCCCAATCCACTGCAAGCGCTTTCCTACCTCGAGAATCGGCATGGTTCTGCTGTGCTTCGTTAGTCTCCAGGAGGACCTGAAGCCAATCTACCTCATCCTCCTTCCTACTTCATGTTTTTACCTACTCCAGACTTCGTAATAAAAGGGAGGGGGTCTCAACCCTCCCAGACGAGAAGTTTTAGACCCCCCCTCGTGGGAGAACCCTCCAAAACATCGTCCCCAGACCCCCCAGGCCCTCCAAGATAGCCTGGAAGAGACCCCCCCCCGAAATGAGACCCCCCTCCCTTTTATTACGAAATCTGGAGTACCTCATCCTCCTTCCTACTTCATGTTTTTACCCACTTCTTCCGACCGGCGTGCATGTTGCTATTCGGAAGGGGCGTGTTGCCAGGCAGACAGCAGGCGCCACGGCTCTCGCTCCGGTGCAGGACACGCTGGCCCCAGTTTTCTCAACCCTCTCTCAAAGCGGCCGATACTCCAGATTTCGTAATAAAAGGGAGGGGGTCTGGACCCTCCAAGACAAGCCATTTCAGACCTCCCCCGTGGGAGAACCCTCCAAAACATCGTCCCCAGACCCCCCAGGCCCTCCAAGATAGCCTGGAAGAGACCCCCCCCGAAATGAGACCCCCCTCCCATTATTACGAAATCTGGAGTATCTATTGTGGTCCCCTGCCGTACCCAGCCTCGCGACGAAGCAGGAGCCGTGACCAGCTGGAGGCTCACGATCGCTCCTGCCGCGAAGCCAAGCCCCGCCCCCCTGGAACAGCACATTCCGATGGGGTCGTAGGATCGCGCCGCATCGCCAACGCATCGGCGACCCATTGGCCACGACGGCGTGGAGGAAATCGGGCTCCGCATCGAGCCGCATCGTCGATGCATCGGCGATGCGGCGCCATTCTCCGACCCCATCTACTCGGACCCCATCTGGGAGGCCCAGGACAACGTGACCCGCGCCGAGGTGAGAGATCTGATCTCTCGCCGTTGCCTCCTCGCTCCGCCCGCACAGTGGGAGGCCGAGCAAGCGCAGCGGACGATGGCCTGCGCCAGCGCGAGAGCGCACGCCCCCCGCGAGGAGGCGGGAGCAGTGGCCAGCCAACTCCGCCCGCGACCCGTGGCGCCGAGCGCCCCTCCGCACAACTGCACGCGGCCAACGCCAGCACGATCGCGCCACTCCGGCGGAAAGAGAGTGCCCCCGCTGCCAGAGCGACGGCGGTGGCCAAGTAGCTCTGTGGATGCCAAGACAGTGGACACCCTGACAGTCCTACCATTGAGTTTAACATGTGTGTCACAAAGTCGGGAACATGTTCTAAACATGTCTTAAACAGGCTTTTTGCATGCCTCAAACATGTTCACAAACATGTTCTAGACATCTGGGAACTATTTGGCAACATTATGAAGAAAATCCTGGCGGCCTCCCGCGACAACTTGAGACCCGATTTTACGTCGGATCTACGTCGGATTTACGTCGGGTTCACGTCGGACTACGTCGGATGTACGTCGGATTTACGTCGGACTGACTCCTGAGCATCGCCGCGAGAGCGTCGACCCATAGCTTACGGAACTGACACGTGGACTAGATCATACTACCATTACGCGCCGCGCGAGGCCTCCAGGATTTTCCTCACAAGCAACATGCTTCCTCTCCACTGATCGTCCTCCACAACAGGTTTGTTGCATGCCTTAAACAGGTCTTTTTGCATGCCTGAAACCAGTCTTTTTGCAGAAACATGTTCTAAACATTTCTTAAACAGGTATTTTTGCATGCCTCAAACATGTTCAACATATGTTTTAGACATCTGGAAACTGTTTGGCATCACGCTTCCTCTCCACTGATCGTCCTCCACAAAAATGGCTCCGCGGGCGAACCGCGCGGCCGAACACCTGCCCGAGCAGCAGTGCGTGGCCAGCGCCGGGGGGCGAGAGCGCAGCTCTGGTGCCAGAGGGTGGGTGCCCCCGCGCCGGTGCCGTGGCGGTGGCCAGCCAGCCCCGCTGGCCTGTCCTCCTCGTCCCTTCCCCTCCTCCTCCTCGTCCGCCTCCTCCTCCTCCTCCTCCTCCTCCTCCTCCTCCTCCTCCTCCTCCTCGTCCGCCCTCCTCCTCCTCCTCCTCGTCCCTCCTCCTCCTCCTCCTCCTGCTGGGAGAGACGAGCGCCGCCTCGAGCGGCAGAATGTAGCCGGCACGAGAACGCCAGGACGCCCGCGTCCCCAGAGCTCCCACGTCCCCAGAACGCCGCCGTCGTTCACGGTTTCACAGAAAGGGGGCTCCAGGTCTAGACCACTTCCCTGATACCAGCTCTTCATCTTGACTCGGTGTCTGACGGTCCCGGGCCCGGGCCAGAGCCCCCGAAGACAAACAGCTGAAACAAAAGCCGACATCGTGATTTCTTCGCCACGAGAAAAGGTGACGGGTCTGGCAGGAAGATTTCCGCCGCGCCCAGAGCGCGAGTAGCGGTGTGAGCGGAAGAGGCCTCCCCAAAGAGCCTCACCCCGCTCGAGGCGTCCTCTGCACTCGACAACTTCGGGGAAGTAAGGCTTCCCTGGAGCATTCTGCGATGGAAGGCCACGAGCTGATTCGAGAAAAAGATCAATCCAGACGGGTCCAATTTCGGAGTTCTTGGGTGCCGCACGCCCACTAGGGTTGCACCATGAAGTCCAAACATGTTCACGTGAACGCCCCATCTACGGATTTCGCGTGTGCCATTATCACGGTCCTGCGGTTTCTCAAAGGCTGTGGACTCCCCTGCTCACAAAAGGCCCCAGCGGTTTGTCGAAGTGCGTCGTTCGACGTGGGAACACAGACTCACGAGGCAGAAGATGGCCCCAAGACGGGCAAATCTAGTCCGAGCTAGCACCTAAGTCAGGCCGACGTGACCCATCGCTGCCCAAAGCGACCTCCAGGATGACCCTGGGCGTCCTCGATATGACCTCAGGATGCCTCTAGAGGTCCAGCGCTCCCCCAAAGAAGCCCCCACGGGGCCGAACAACTTACAAAATCAAGTGCTTCCTTTCGCATGGTATTCGCATGTCTTGTCTAAGAAGGCTCCAGAGAGCCCCGCAAGGGGCCCAGGAGGAACAGCCATCGTCGCCCGCGCGGGACCCAAATTGCTAGCTCGGAAAGAGCTCCGAGAGACCCGTTGGAGAGATTGTTGCAGCTGCTCCTCCATCTCCAACTCCTCCTATTCGTTGTCCCCTCCTCCTCCTCCTCTTCCTCCTCCCTCCTCCCTCCTCCCTCCTCCCTCCTCCCTCCTCCCTTCTCCTCGTCGCCGTCGTCATCGTCATCCTCCTCCTCCTCCTCCTCCTCCTCCTCCTCCTCCTCCTCCTCCTCCTCCTCCTCCTCCTCATCATCATCATCATCATCATCATCATCATCAGCATGATTGACATCGTCATCGCAGGACCTGGAACGCGGGGCCCTCGGCGGCGCGGCGGAAGTGCTCCTTGACCTGCTCTTTGCGCGGGCGCCGGCGCTGGCCTGGCGGCGGGGTTCGGACGTACGCCTCGTGGCATGTCGACAGCAAGCCCAACTCGCGGGCAGGTGGGTGGCACTCCTTGGCTGCCTCTGCCCATGCCTCTCTGCGCCACACATCCTGTACCTTCTGTGGGGTCTCTCACTCTCTCTCTCAGTCTCCCTCTCTCGCTCAGTCTCTCTCTCTCTATATATATATATATCCTCTCTCGCTCAGTCTCTCTCTCTCTCTCTATATGTGTATATACATATATCCTGAGATATATATATATATATATTCCCCGCCCCCTCTCCCTCCATCCCTCTCTCCCGTTCTCGTATTCTCCCTCTTTCTCTCTGTCTGTCTCTCTCTCTCTCTCTATATATATATACATATATATATATATATATATATATATTTATATATATATATATATATATATGTTTTCCATCTCTCTCTTTCTCTCTCTATAGTTTGCTGACTTCTCACTATCCGCACACGATAAACACGTCCACTCGAATGTACACTCACGTGCACACGCGTGTCCGTGCTTTCCCACTGTGTCCTCGTGCATCGCTCCCAGGGCATCCGCCTACAACCAGCATGCAAACTACACCAGGCGAGGGCATAGGCACCCAAGGGTGTTGAGTCACAAGCCGATTGGCTTGTGAAAGAGCCCACCGATAAACTGTCAGGAGGGACGACGAACGGCCTGGATGAGAAGCACGGTGCAAGCCGTGACGAGCCCCCTCGATACGGTCATCGTGATACCAGGAGGAGCGCTGCATCCATGCATAAGGGGGGCCTCTGTGGCCACGAGGAGGCTCCCCGACCTGGGTACGAGGAGCAATTCAAAAACCAGAGCCCCTCCCGTGACCCCTGAGCCCAAGATGCTCCTTTTTCCAGCTTGTCGGCTGCGACGGCAATGGGCGTGGCGTAGGGCGGGTTCGGGGAGGGAGGAGGAGGAGGAGGAGGAGGAGGAGGAGGAGGAGGAAGAGGAGAAGAGGAAGGAGGAGGAGGAGGGAGGAGGGAGGAGGGAGGAGAGGAGGAGGAGGAGGAGGAGGAGGGAGGAGGAGGAGGGGGAGGAGGAGGAGGGAGGAGGGAGGAGGAGAGGGGAGGAGGGGAGGAGGAGGAGGAGGAGGAGGGAGGAGGAGGAGGAGGAAAGAGGAGAGGAGGAGGAGGAGGAGGAGGAGGGAGGAGGAAGGAGGAGGAGGAGAGGAGGAGGAGGAGAGGAGGAGGGAGGAGGAGGAGGGAGGAGGAGGAGGAGAGGAGGAGGAGGAGGAGGAGGAGGAGGAGGGAGGAGGAGGAGGAGGAGGAGGAGGAGGACACTGGGCCGGTGCAGTGCCAGGGGAGCGGCGAAGGGCCATAGCTGGAGCCGCCCGAGGCGGCACGCACACAGGACATGGCCGCAACTGTGAGCGGGAGCAATCGTCGTGGTACGATTAGGTCGGGCGAAAGGGGGGGGGATAGCAAAGGGGGGTATGAGAATCAGCTCACGTGGCTGATTTTCCCAGCGCCTCCCGGCGCCGGGAGGCGCCCCTGTATCGAGGCATGGGCCCCTCGGCGGGGCCGAAACCAGCTGCATGCAGCAGATTTCGTAACCATCCCTTTCCCTATCCCCCCCCTTTCGTTCGGCCCGATCGTCCTCCTCCTCCTCCTCCTCCTCCTCCTCCTCCTCCTCGCCTCTTGAGCCAGAGGTGGCCCTTACTTCAGCGTCTCGGCTGTACCATGCTCGTGCCGAAAGCCACGCGTTGGGGGCTAGGATGGACAGGGGAGGCTGGACCTGCGTGGGTCCACGGTCACGACTCTCACATTGGAGATCGACACCATGCAGGTGGCAGGAGGCGTTCACCTACCCGAACGTGGCGTGGAAGAAGGAAACAAGAGGCGTACGGGTGCGCCGAGAGTGGCTTGTCCGGTCAGTCAGTCCAACATTCCCTCCTTATGCCCTCCCAGACCCCCGACGTCGTGATGTTTGCACACCCTCGACCCCCAGAGGTCTGGACCCCTTCCCCGGGACCGGTTCTTCGTCCCGAGCCATTTTTTGGCGCTCCCGAGGCCCGGTGAGGCCCCCTGGAAACCGAAAATGGCGAGAAACTTCCCGTCGTGATTTTTGTCACAGCGCGAGGGGGTCTGGGCTTCGTGGAGAAGTAGGAACCCTACCCACGCTTTGCGGCATCACCAAGTCCTTGGTGTATGCTTTTGCGGCAGTTGCGGTCTCTTCGGCCAGGCCCAGCTCAGGGGCTCAGGACTCCCATGCCGCCCACAATTCATCACCAAGGCCAGACGCGAGTACCTAGACAGGCTTGCTCGCGATCTGAATCCCAAGCTGAGCCCACAAGCTTGCATATCACTACGTGATGGCGGAAATCCTGAAAATCCCTCCCATGGGCCTGGAGCCCTCCCCCGGCGGGTGGCTGGAGGGCCCAGGAGGGCCCCAAGAGGGCCCCAAGAGGGCCCCAAGAGGGCCCCAAGGTGGCCCCAGGAGGGCCCCAAGAGGGCCCCAAGGTGGCCTCCAATCCCAGACCCCCTCGCGCTGTGACAAAAATCACGACGGGAAGTTTTTCGCTATTTTCGGCCTCCGGCGGGCCTTACCAGGCCTCGGGAGCGTAAAATTAGCCTGGCGAAGAACCCAACCATATGCAGTTGTCAGTACCGCAGCTGCGGGTTTCATCTTCAATGGAACTCCCCATAGGACTACGGAACGTGTGAGGGGTGTGCCGAGATGGGTGCCACTGGGGCATTCGGCGAAGCTCCCTATGGGGACATGAAACACGCGCGGGGCGTGCCGACATGGGTGGCGGAAACGCATGTGCGGGCCGCCACTGGGGCCTCCAGTGGAGCTCCCTATGGGTCCCCGAAACATGATGCTGCTGCGGGGGGGGGGCCGGGATGGGTGGCGGAGACGCATGTAAGCGCCGCTACTGGGGCCTTCGGTGGAGCTCCCTATGGGGCCACGAAGCGCGTGAGGGGTGTACTGGGATGTGTGGCGGGGACGCATGTGAGCGCCGCCACTGGGGCCTTCGGTGGGGCCACGAAACGTGTGAGGGGTGTGCCGAATTGGGTGCGGGTGGTGACGCATGCGGGCGGTGCCACTGGGGCCTTCGGTGGAGCTCCCTATGGGGCCACGAAACCTGTTGTTGTGAGGGGCGTGCCGGGATGGGTGGCGGGGACGCATGTGAGCGCGGCCGCTGGGGCCTTCGGTGGAGCTCCCTATGGGGCCACGAAACGTGTGAGGGGTGTGCCGAATTGGGAAGGTGTGGGTGACGGATGTGAGCGCCGCCACTGGGGCATCCGGTGGATGATGGGGCCACGAAACCTGTCAGGGATGTGCCGAAATGGGTGCGCGGGACGCATGCGCATGTGAGCGCAACCATTGGGGCCTTCGGTGGAGCTCCCTATGGGGCCACGAAACGTGTGAGGGGTGTGCCGAATTGGGTGTGCGTGACGCATGCGGGCGGCAGCACTGGGGCCTTCGGTGGAGCTTCCTATGGGGCCACGCAACGCGTGAGGGGTGTGCCGAATTGGGCGTGCGGGACGCATGCGGGCGGCAGCACTGAGGCCTGAGGCCTTCTGTGGGGCTCCCTAAGGGGCCACGAAACGTGTGAGGGGTGCGCCGAATTGGGTGTGCGGGACGCATGCGGGCGGCAGCACTGGGGCCTTCGGTGGGGCTCCCTATGGGGCCACGAAGCGTGTGAGGGGTGTGCCGAATTGGGTGTGCGGGACGCATGCGGGCGGCAGCACTGGGGCCTTCGGTGGGGCTCCCTATGGGGCCACGAAACGTGTGAGGGGTGTGCCGAAAAGGGTGTGCGGGACGCATGCGGGCGGCAGCACTGGGGCCTTCGGTGGAGCTCCTATGGGGCCACGAAACGTGTGAGGGGTGTGCCGAATGGGTGTGGGGACGCATGCGGGCGGCAGCACTGGGGCCTTCGGTGGAGCTCCCTATGGGGCCACGAAACGTGTGAAGGGGTGTGCCGAATTGGGTGTGCGGGACGCATGCGGGCGGCAGCACTGGGGCCTTCGGTGGGGCTCCCTATGGGGCCACGAAACGTGTGAGGGGGTGTGCCGAATTGGGTGTGGGTGACGCATGCGGGCGGCAGCGGGGCCTTCGGTGGGGCTCCCTATGAGGCCATGAAGCGTGTGAGGGTGTGCGCGCACTGGGGCCTTCGGTGGAGCTCCCTATGGGGCCACGAAACGTGTGAGGGGTGTGCCGAATTGGGTGTGGGTGACGCATGCGGGCGGCAGCACTGGGGCCTTCGGTGGAGCTCCCTATGGGGCCACGAAACGTGTGAGGGGTGTGCCGAAATTGGGTGTGGGTGACGCATGCGGGCGGCAGCACTGGGGCCTTCGGTGGAGCTCCCTATGGGGCCACGAAACGTGTGAGGGGTGTGCCGAATTGGGTGTGGTGACGCATGCGGGCGGGCGGCAGCACTGGGGCCTTCGGTGGGGCTTCCTATGGGGCCACGAAACGTGTGAGGGGTGTGCCGAATTGGGTGTGGGTGACGCATGCGGGCGGCAGCACTGGGGCCTTCGGTGGGGCTCCCTATGGGGCCATGAAACGTGTGAGGGGTGTGCCGAATTGGGTGTGGGTGACGCATGCGGGCGGCAGCACTGGGGCCTTCGGCGGAGCTCCCTGTGGGGCCACGAAACGGTGTACTGGGTGGGTGAAGAGGAGAGGAGGAGAGGAGGAGAGGAGAGGAGGAGAGGAGAGGAGAGGAGAGGAGAGGACAGGAGGACGCGGGGACCGTCTCTTCAAAACCAGGACCCAACACCACAGGATGGTTGGGAAAAATGACTCGGGACGACGAAAAACCGGTCCCGGGGAATGGTTCCAGACCTCTGGGGGTCAAGGTTGCGAAAAAAATCACGATGTCGGCGGTTTGGGATAGCTGCACACGATAACCCAAGATGGCTCAAGCCCAATACCTTCCCAAGACGGTTCCAAGCGGCCACGGAGCATCCCAAGGACACCCCCCCCAAAGATGCCAAATTCATATTTAAGGCTGTCGGGACTCAATGTCGCGTGTCTTCTCGCCTTTTCGCCTGCGATTGGCTCTTGAGGCCTCAAGACGGCTCCAAGATGGCCCAAGAGAGCCCCAAGAGCAGCCCAAGGCGACCCCAAGAGCGCCCAAAGAGCGCCCCACGAGGTCCCCATGGGGCAATTCGTTGGCCTCCAAAGGGGGGGCGAGGCGACATAAATAAGATTCTCCCCCTTCTTTGATCGATTGCCTCCAGGATGGCCGCCCCAAGGCCTCCAAGATGGCCCCAAGAGAGCCCCAGGGGAGCCCCCAAGGCCTCCAAAATGGCCCCAAGATGCCTACAGGAGGCTCCCAGAGCGCGACGACTTACCTCTACACATCCCTGATCAGGGCAACGCGCCTGGTGATTGTTCTTGGATGGGCTGATGGGGATTCTTTTTCGTCGCGGCTGCAGGCGAGCGCGCCAGCAGCGTCAGAGGTCGAGCGGGCTACGCGCGAACCTAATTGCCTAGCGCACGGGGACCGACGGCCGAATCTAAGCGGCCTAAATGGCTGGTGGGGATTCGCGAAGCGTCAAGAATTTACACGGCCACTTTGACTGCCAAACTAGGTCTACACGACACACTGCACTCGCAAATGTCACGTGCGGTGGCATCTGCTCCACGCGCTGTTGGCAACGCGTCCCTAAAACGCGGCCACAAGACTGCAACTACGCGAATCTCACGCTCGGAACTCTCGCATACATGGCAGTTTTTAATACATGGGAATTTAAAAACATATCGCTTTGTTTTAATACATCTGAACTCATCGTTGGTATTAGTACTAAATCCCGGCATTTTTAATCCATGATCCGCACGCGGAGCATGTATAAAAAACGGCTCTGTGCGGTCGGGAACGCTTGCTCAGCGTGTCGCGGCGGCGGCCCCGGCGACACGCTGTGTCATAGGAGAGCGGAGAGCGTGCCGCTCCGCCCCGCGGCGCGGGAGACCCGGAGCACCTCGGGACGCTGGCGCCGGGGGACCGGGAAGTGCATGGCGTGTCGCACAGGAGCCAGACCCCCGACGTCATGATTCTTTCACAACGTCGACCCGCCAGAGCTCTGGACCCCTTCCCCAGGACCGGTTTTTCATCCTGAGTCGTTTTTTGACGGTCCCGAAGCCCGGTGAGGGACCCTGGAGGCCGAAAGTTAGAAAAAACCTCCCGTCATGATTTTTGTCATTACCCGAGGGGGTCTGGGAAGCGTGGTGGCCAGAACCCGCGGAGCGACACGCTGTCCAAAAGATCTCTCGGCCGTAGCCTCCAGACATCAGATCTGCGCTGGCAGCAGCAGCGGCGCTGGCAGAGGCGGGGTGCCTCTGGTCGCTCCGTCAGGATCCAGCGCTCCAGTGCGCGCCTCTGCGGCTCTGTGAAGCACCGCAGGATCACCTGGCAAGCTCCGCGAGGCGTGCCCATACTGGACAGTGGATGTGTTCGGGGGCGCGCGGGCATCCGTACACCCTCACTGTTGGCTGTGGCGTCTGTGGAATGCCTGCGCCAGTCCCGGCAGGCTCGACGGGCAGGGCGAGAGGCAAGGCAGGCTGGGAAAGCGTGGGGCCTGGAATGCAGCGCCACTGGACTGCCTACTGCACTGCGCCGTACACTACAGTGGAGACCAGTCCACAAGAGACCTTCCGCAAGAAAACCAACCCTGAGACTCCAGGACGCCGATGGATTTCTGGAGGGGCAACGTCGCGCTTCCTTTGGCGCGAAACCATCGAACCCCCAGAAACCCAGGGCGCCCTGGAGGCAGGCAGGGTGTTTCTTTGGCATGGGCCTCCACTGCAGACGCCTGAGGACATCCAGGGGCAGGTCTGTCGTCGAGCCCTGGGCCCCCCGAGGGGCCCTGGAGGGCCTCGGTGAGCCCCCCCCCGGGGCCAGCCGGCAACGAGGAGCTTCCGTGGGGCACCCTGCTGGCAGGTCGGCGTCTTGTGTGACGCGCCTGCGGCATCGCCCCGCGCTCCGCAGCGAACAGCTGCTGCTCGCCCTGTGATGCTGGCGACGATCCTGCGTGCACGCCGAGGCAGGCAGCTTGGGCACCCCCACAGTCTGGCAGCGCAGGGGCCACCAGACGCGTGCAGCTGCAAGGTGCAGTGCCAACGCCAGATGTGCTGCGGGGCCTCCTCGTAGCAGCACGTCGTGGGGGAGTTGCCGGAGGACGAGGCGGAGGCGGTGCAGGAGCAGAGAGGAAAGGAGGAGCAGCAACAGCAGAGGAGGGCTAGATCAAGGAGGAACCAACAGGCCCTGCGGAGGGCAGAGTGCAGGGGGGCTGAAGGGGCGGAGCCAGAGGCATCACTGGTGACATGGCAAACCAACCGATTGGACGAATGTCCCTCCCCCCAAACAAAATAACACTTTTCTGGGATCTGGTGGTATCACGGATCGCCCCAACATGTCAATGACTAGAGCTTCCGTGTGCGGCGTCCCCATGAGGGAGCGATTCGCCCCCGGAGCCATACACCTCCCAGCCCATTCCTGGAGCCCATGTCTATAGAAGTGCTGCGCTCCAGGACCCAGCAATCGTGCCCACACGACAGGCTGATGGACCCTCGGTGTATGCTCGTGCCGCGGGCGAGCGCGCCCCGATGTTCGAGAGCGCCCCGACAAACGTACTGTCTCCAGAGCTCCAGTATACGCTGCGCTCCTGGGAGGGGAGACCTCGAGGGCCACTCGCTCCCGTGAGATCCTGGCGTTGCAATCTTTTCGCGCCGGCGACGTCCGGCGAGGGGCCACTCGTACGCATGGCCGACGGAGAGGTGCCCCCGGAGGCGCCGGCCCCCTGGACATGCCCCCCAGGCAGGCAGCGAGAGCCCATCTGGGGCACGCCTGGCGACCCAGAGGACGCGGGCGAGGAGGAGGAGAAGGAGGAGGAGGAGGAGGAGGAGGAGGACGTGGAAGACGCGGAGGAGGAGGAGGAGGAGGAGGAGGAGGAGGAGGAGGAGGAGGAGGAGGACGAGGACGGGGAGGACGAGGACGAGGAGGAGGAGGAGGAGGAGGAGGAGGAGGAGGAGGAGCGAGGAGGAGGAGGGGGAGGAGGAGGGCCCCCGCAGGCCGCGCACCAGAGATGCCGCTCTTGCCCAGAGGAGCACGCCCGAGGGGGGCATGGGCGCTCCGGAGCCTCCAGGGCCCTGCCTGCGGGGCTGCGGGGTCCCGGTGAAGGGGCCCTGGGACACACAAATAAACAGACACAAATAAAGTTATGTCGGGCGTGTCCCCCTGCAGAGGGATTTTCGACGAAAAATGAAAAATCCCCCAAAAATGCCCCCAAAAAATCAAAAAATAGTCAAACAATAATCCCTGGACTATTTTTTAAATATGTTTTGACTATTTGGGGGGGGCATTTTTCATTTTTCGTCGAAAATCCCCCTGTAGGGGGACAGGCCCGACTTAATGCTGGTGAAGGGGCCCTGGGACACACAAATAAACAGACACAAATAAAGATGTCTCCCCATGTTTTCCAACATTTCCTGGGTGTCTGTCTTCCCCCCATTTCCCCTATGTTCCCATCCTTTTTGGCGAATCGACGATGAGTTGTGTCTGTGTGTAGTTTCCCTTCCTGGCCTGGGAGCGCCGCGGGGATGGTCGGACCCTGAGATGCGACGTATCGGCGCCCATCAAACGGGGACCCCCTCGCGTTGTGAAAAAATCACGCCGGGAGGTTTTTCATTATTTTCGGCCTCAGGGGGGCCCTCGCCGGGCCTCGGGACCGTCAAAAAACGACTCAGTATGAGAAACTGGTCCTGGGGAAGGGGTCCAGACCTTTGGGGGTCGACGTTGTGAAAAAATCACGACGTCGGGGGTCTGCAAGCGTCGCGGGGATGGTCTGACCCTGAGATGCGACGTATCGGCGCCCATCAAACGGGGACTCCACTGACGGGACGTGTGGCCAGTGACCCAGCGAATCCAACCTCCCCGATGTGGGCAACGCTGCACTGCCAGAAAGAGGCCAGGAAGTGGCAACTTTCGGCAAAATTGCAAAGTACCTGGTAGTAAATACCCATTACGGTGCCGCTGAACGTAGCGAACAAAAATGCAACATCGTAAAAATCACGCCCGGAGCCCTAGAACCCAGCTGTCTGCGCCATTTTTCGAGCCGGATCGATCTGTGAGGGTCCCAGGGCCCAAAAAAGGCGAGAACTTTTGGTTCGAAAAGGTTTAGTCGCCTGGATCTTAGGGTCAACCCGCATAGCAAGGGTGGGTAACCTTCCGAAGGGAGGGTACCCTTGCATCCTTGCCTCCTCGGGCCATCCTTGGCCACTCTCGCTGGCCGCGCCCCGCTAGAAAAGCTTCGAAAGGGCCTTCCAGAGCCCCTGCATTCTTACCGCGCATACTTACGATACGGGCCGGCTGTAGGTCTGGACCTTCTCCCCAGGACCAGCTTCTCATCCTGAGCCCGGCTCGAAAGAGTTGATAGGGTCTCAGGGCTTGCTGCTACCATCTAACTCCCCAGAGATCCGACGTCGTAATTTTTTCAATACGCGGTCCCCGAAAGCCTCGACCCATTCCCCAGGACCGGTTTTTCATCCTGAGTCGTTTTTTGACGGTCCCGGGGCCCGGCGAGGCCGAAAATTGCGAAAAACCTCCGTCTTTATTTTTTCAGGACGTTGGATCTCTGGCTCTTTGCTGGGGATGTTTTGGCGGGCGGGACTTCTCCCCAGGACCCGCTCCTCGCCCCGAGCCGCTCCGTCGGCGGCCCCTGGGCACGACGGCGAGGGCCCCTGGAGGCGGACACCGAGGCCAAGAGCCTCCCCTCGGGGCCTCTCCCCTGGCATGTCCGCCGATGTGCTTTTGGTTCCCGCCCGCAGCCCCGGACCCAGACCTCCTGGGCCCCGAAAAAACCAGGACCCAGGGCTCTCCTCGCTATGTTCGGCCCAACCCGGGGGCCCCACCCTCCGGGCCTCGGGACCGTCAAAAACCGCCTCGGGATGCAAAGCCGATCCCGGGGAAGGGGTCGAGACCTCTCGGGGTCGACGCTGTGAAGAAATCGCGCCGCCAGCGGCCTGGGGAAATCCCCACCGTGTCCCTGGGGGGCACGCCGCGTCCTACGTCCCGGATCCGTGCTCGAAGGGGCCCGAGGAGGAGGAGGAGGAGGAGGAGGTGGAGGAGTTCGCCAGGAGTTCGCCACTGGGGACCCGTGTCCCGTCCTTCCTCAGCCCTGGCCGCGAGGAGCACGAGCCTCGCGCCAGGACGACCCGATCGGGAGCCCAGGACGCCGAAGGAGCACGAGCCTTCGCAACCAGGGGCCACCAAACAGTGCTTGCAGCGCCCCACGGCGCCAGGACAGCCCCCACGGGACGCGCAGTTATCTACGCACCACGCGCCGCCCCCAAGGGGCAAAGGGGTCCACAGCAGCACGACTACCCGCGGACCCCGCACCGACAGGCCGCAGGCTCATCGGTTGTACTCCCACCGCTGCACATCGGCCTCCTTGAGGTCGCAGCCGCGGTGATCAGCGGGTGCCAACCTTGCCGAGCCTGGCTTGATGAAGGAAGGCCTCGCTGACATACTTCTTCATCTGCTCCTGGGAGAGGTTGCCGCCATACTGAGCGAGGATTGCAGCCACGAGGCTCTGCGGACGACCAGGCTCTATCGCGTCCAGCTTCACGACCTGCCCCTCAGCGTCCTTCAGCACCTCCCCAGGCTTCTGGGAGTCGCTCGCCCCCGTGTAGGAACGAGTGTTCTCCAGGACCTGAACGTCTCTGTCGCTATTGTTCGAGCCCTTGATCTGCGTGTCCGAGATGTCGAACGACGCGTAGTCCACTGGCGTGGAAATTGGCATCTCGCACACAGGGACCAGCATCAGCGGGTCCGAGATGTCGAACGAGTCCAGGCCAGCAGGAACCGACCGCGTCTTGATACCCACCGAGGCCAAGGTGGGGAGGACGTCGGCGCAGGAGTCAGGCGGGAGCTTCTTCTTGACCTTCTTCTTCTTTTCCTTCACAACCGAGCGGGCCTGGACGGGCGAGTACTCCAGCTCGCCTAGCTTGACAGTGGAGGCGGAATCCACAACCTCGACATTCATGTCGAAGTTCTCCAAGCTCTGTGACACCATGTCCGACCCGCTTTCCGTTGACGCCTCGGTGACGCCACACTCCAAAATCATCTCCTCACCGTCCTGCACGAAGTCCTCCTCCTTGGGCCCCCTCTCCTTGAGGTCGACTCCAGACTTGTCCAGGGTGCTGATCGCCCTGATGACCCGCTCCGCGACCCCTGAGGACGGGTGTCCACAGGCGCGGCGCCCTGCACGGAAGTCGACCCACTCCTTGGCCAAAGACTTCTGGCCAGCCTGCACGAGGAGCTTCCTGACGTCCTCGCCCGTGGCCTTCCGCTCCAGGCCGAGGGACTGACCAGCTTCGTTCAGCACCCCCTCGAACGTGGCGAGGACCCCGCAGGCAGGACAGCCAGCGTCCGAAGCCGCGGGCTGGGCCGAGATGGCCTCGCGGCTCGCCGTCTCGACCGCCACTCGGAAGAGCCACTCCTTGCAGCCTCTCCGGATCTTCACCGCCTCGATCGCCTCGAGCACTGCCTGGAAAGCAAGCGCCTTGCTGCTCCCCATCCCAGCGCTCGAGGACACCGGTACCATCACGGAAACACGAAACCTGCGAAACAGGGGGCCGCAACCTTGAGCCAAAATGGCTACGGAAGAGGAGGAGGTGGAGGAGGGCAGAAGAGGAGGGGGGGAGGAGGGATGAGGAAGAGGAGGAGGGGGAGGAGGGATGAGGAAGAGGAGGAGAAGGAGGAGGAGGAGGAGGAGGAGGACCGAGAACTGGCCCCCCGCCGGGTGCAAAGGCCAGATATATTTAGGTTAACCGACCTACCTACCTACCTACCTACCGACCTACCTACCTACCTACATGCGTATATACATACATATATACTCACATACATACATACATACATACATACATACATACATACATACATACATGCATGCATGCATGCATGCATGCATACATACATACATACAAACATGCATGCATGCATGCAGACAGACAGACAGACAGACAGACAGACAGACAGACAGACAGACAGACAAACATACATACGAACATATATACACACATACACACATGCATACATGCATGCAGACATGCATGCATACATACATGCATTCACGCATGCATACATACACATATCCATACATCCATACATCCATACGTCCATACATCCATACATCCATACATCCATACATCCATACATCCATACATACATACATACATACATGCATACATACATGCATGCATGCATACATGCATACATGCATACATGCATACATGCATACATGCATACATGCATACATGCATACATGCATACATGCATACATGCATACATACATACATGCATACACACATACATACATGCATATATGCATATATGCATACCTGCATACATGCATACATGCATACATGCATACATGCATCTTTATACACATACATACAGACAAACAGACAGACAGACAGACATACAGACAGACAGACATGCATGCATGCATACATGCATGCATACATACACACATGAATGAGCACATACATACATACTTATTTACTTACATGCATGCATACATACATGCAGACAGACATACATACATGCCGTCGGAACTGTGGGCCCGCGCGAGGCGGCGGGGGCTTCCTGGACCTCCGACGCCTGGTCTTGTCAATACAGGCTCCACGGAGCTCTGGACCACCTCGTGGCGACCAGTCTTTCTGGAAGAAGAGAAAAACTAACGCCGTAGACATAAACTTTTGGCGCTCCGCGCGGATTTCTTGGATCTGGCCTGGACCCCCCTCCCTGGCGCGCGGAGCGCGCCTGGCGCAGCGCCGGAAGCGCCGCCGAGGGGGCCCAGCGCGGATCCAAGAACTCCGCGCGGAGCGCCAAAAGTTTATGTTTACGGCGTTTTTCTTCTTCGATTTTCGTCATGGGTCGATTTTGTTTACAGCCTCGGGGCCCAGGGATGTGTCCCAGACTCCGAGAACGACGAAAGGGCCGCGGCGCCCGATACTTCCCTCAGAACCGCCGGATCTCAGAGATTCCCGATGTATCCATGATGGGCATGTTTTCCACCACCACCACCATATCTAAGTTGGAGGGGGGAAGGAGGAGGAGGAGGAGGAGAAGGAGGAGGGATGAGTAAGAGGAGGAGGAGGAGGAGGAGGAGGAGGAGGAGGAGGAGGAGGGCCCCCTCCCTCTCTGACTTGTGGTGGTGGTGGTGGAAAACGGGCCCATCAGTCCAGATCCGAAACTGTCCCGACCCTGCCTGTCCGTCTCGCCCGTGGGCAGAAGCGAGGCTAGCTCAAGGGCACACCCTCGGAAGCCCGCGCGGGCTTCTTGGGGTTGGCGCTAGGCTCCCTTTTTGTTTCGGAGCGGTTTCGCCACGGCGACCCCTCGCTGTTCCTGACAACACGTCGGGAAAGCGCGTCCTGCACACTGTGGGTCGGTGTCACATGCAAGAGGAGAACAGCATGCGCTGACTTTGGGCGAGACCCGTCTCCAAGGCGATCGCCTCTGCTTGGAAAGCGGAGCACGCATGCCCCAGAAAGGTCGCGCCGCACGCAATCTCGCTCGACCCCTCCCTTGGCATGGACGCTCGGCCACAACACTTCACATGCAGAATAACCAAAAGCACCCAAGCTGCAAGTCCAGCGAAACTGCAAACAAAAACTCACGAAACAAATCTAAAGCGACGCTTCCCACACCCACCTAGAATGTAAATGCCGCTTCTAGGGCGCGGCACGAACATGCACATTACAGCAAACCCGAGTTGGCCACACAGCCTACCCAAAAACGCACCCTGAAGAACTTTCAGGTGGCCACACGCGAACCCTACCCCACCCTCCCCCGCAGAAATCGTGGGGGGGTAGGGGTAGGGTTCGCGTGTGGCCCCCTAACTTTGTTGCCCCAGGCACGACAGCGACCGCCGAGCTCGTCGCCGACTGGCGGCGGCTTGGGGTCTGGGCTCCCCTCGGGTTGCTCTGCACGGACAGGGCGGCACCCGCCGCCCCTCGGGAGGGCCACCTCACCAGAACGCACGCTGAAGCAAAGGATCGACTCGCAGACTTACGTCGGGCCTGTCCGCCTACAGGGGGATCAAAAATAGTCTGGGGACTATTTGTTTAGTATTTGTTTTACCTTTTTGGAGCATCTGTGGGGTATCTTTTATTTTTCATCGAACATCCACCTGTAGGGGGACACGCCCGACATAATCGTAGACGCATGCCCAGATAGGATCGCGTCGTAGAAACACAGGGCGGGAGGTGTTTGCAGTTTTCGGCCTGGGGCAGCCCTCGCAGTGTCTCGGGAGCGCCAACAGAAACGACTCAGGATGCAACACGCGGGTCCCGGGGAAAGGGGGTCGGAACTTCCAGGGACCCCGTATCGAAAAACCAGGGCGTCGCATGTCTGGGTGCCCATCCCAGACCCCCGACGTCGTGTTTTTTCACCACGTCGACCCCCAGAGGCCGGGACCCCTTCCGCGGGACCGGCTGCTCCTCCCGAGTCTTGCTCTGACGCTCCCAGGGGCCGGTGAGGGCCCAGGGAGGCCGGAAAAACAGCGAAAGGGTTCCCGTCGTGTTTTTTTTCCCCACCGCGCATACTACTGTTTGACTATTTGGGAATGCTCCTCCTGTAGATGGACACGCCCGACTTAACACGAGCGCGAAATCTCGGAGTCCCATGGCGGCCGTCTCGAGGCGGCGCCGAGTGGCCGAGCCCGGGACCGGCTCTGCATCCCGAGGCGTTCTCCGACGGCCCCGGGGCCCAGCAGAAGGGCCCATGGAGGCCGGCAGCGGCGAGAGGCCGCCCGTCGCGGTCTCAAGAGGAGGGGGGGGAGGAGGGATGAGGAGGAGGAGGGAGGAGGGAGGAGGGAGGAGGGAGGAGGGAGGAGGAGGGAGGAGGGAGGAGGGGAAGGAAGGAGGAGGAGGAGGAGGAGGAGGAAGAGGGAGGATGAGGAGGAGAAGGAGGTCGAGGAGAAGGAGGTCGAGGAGGAGGAGGTCGAGGAGGAGGAGGAGGAGGAGGCGGAGGAGGAGGAGGAGAGGAGGAGGAGCAGGAAGGCATAAGAGGAGATGGGGGAGGAGGGAGGAGGAAGAGGAGGAGGAGGAGGAGGAGAGGAGGAGGAGGAGGAGGAGGAGGAGGAGGAGGAGAGGAGGGAGGAGGAGGAGGTCGAGGAGGAGGTCGAGGAGGGGGAGGAGGAGGAGGAGGAGGAGGGAGCAGGGCAGGAGCAGGAGGATGAGGAGGAGGAGGAGGAGGTCGAGGAGGAGGAGGAGGAGGGAGCCCCCCCTTCGACACCAGCCAGGACGCGCGCGCGAGGCCCCGGGAGAGCCGGCCGCCCCCGGCGGGGCGCGCGGCGGCCGGGCAGCGGGCGGCGGTCGCCGCGTGCCGCTCGCGGCGGCCGAGGCGGCCGAGCAGCCGGAAGAGGCGCGCCTCGGGTGCCTGGCGCCGGCGGGGCGGGGGGGGAGGGATGATGAGGGTGAGGATGGTGAGGAGGATGATGGTGGTGATGATGGTGATGGTGGTGATGATGGTGATGGTGATGATTGTGATGGTGATGATGATCATGATGATGATGATGATGATGAGGAGGAGGATGAGGATGAGGATGTTGTTGATGATGATGATGATGATGAGGAGGAGGAGGAGGAGGATGAGGATGAGGATGAGGATGAGGATGGTGATGATGATGCTGGTGATGCTGAGGATGATGAGGATGAGGATGGTGATGATGCTGCTGATGATGATTGTGATGGTGATGGTGATGGTGACGGTGACGGTGACGGTGATGGTGATGGTGATGGTGATGGTGATGGTGATGGTGATGGTGATATTGATGGTGATGATGATGATGACGATGATGATGATGATGATGATGGTGATGAGGATGCTGATGGTGATGATGAGGATGAGGATGAGGATGAGGATGATGGTGATGATGGTGATGATGATGATGATGATGATGATGATGATGATGATGCTGATGCTGATGCTGATGCTGATGCTGATGCTGATGATGATGATGAGGATGATGATGATGATGATGATGATGATGATGATGATGATGCTGATGATACTGATGATGAGGCGAGGGGATCCCGCAGGGCTTGTAAGACGAAGCCAGGACGAGGATCAATTCGGCGACGACGACCCCAGACCCCCTCGGGCAAAGAAAAAATCATGACGGGAGGTGTTTCGCTATTTTTCGGCCTCTGGAGGGGGCCCTTACCGGCCCTCGGGAGCGCCAAGACACGACTCAGGAGGAAAAACCGGTCCAGGGGAATGGGTCGAGACCTCTGAGGATCGACGCAATGAAAAAATCATGCGGAGATTTTTCGCTATTTTCGGCCTCTGGGGGGCCCTTACCGGCCCTCGGGAGCGTCAAGAAACGACTCAGGATGAAAAACCGGTCCAGGGGAACGCGTCGAGACCTCTGAGGGTCGACGTAATGAAAAAATCATTACGTCGGGGGTCTGGGACGACCACCATCCCCAGGGAAACCCAAAGGTACCAATACCGCTAATCCCCGGGCCTCTCCCGCGGGTGCGTTCCGACCAGGATCTCGAGGCGAGTCCAGCGGTGGCGACGAGGGCCTCCCAGGATGCCGCAAAAGGGAAGAACGGGCGAAGGGTAGCAGTGTAGGCACTTTCCATTCACCTCAGCCCCGACGATCACAACGACGACCATCCCAACCACCACGACCAAGGCGATGACCACGACGATGACGACGACCACGACGACGACGACGACGCCGACGACGGCGGCGGCGGCGGCGACGACGCCGCCGACGGCGGCGGCGGCGGCGGCGGCGGCGACGACGACGACGACGGCAACCACGACGACCACCCCGACGACCACCACGACCACGGCCCGCCGCGCGCCCGCGCCGCCTGGCGGCGGCCGCGGGTCCCCGGCGGCCTCTGCGGGCCGAGGGCGCCGCCAGCCTCTGCGGGCGCGTCCCGCGGGGCTGCGCGCGCGAGCCGAGGCGAGGCGAGGACGACAACGACGCCGACGACGAGGACGACGACGAGGACGACGACGAGGACGCCGACGACGAGGACGACGACGAGGACGCCGACGACGAGGACGACGACGACGACGACGACGACGACGACTTCGACGACGACGACGACGACGACGACGACGACGACGACGACGACGACGACAACGACTACGCCGCCGCCGCCGCCGCCGCCGCGGCGGCGGCGGCGGCGGCGGGCGGCGGGCTGCGGGCGCGAGGCGAGGCGATCTCGGCGTCGGTCCACATGACTGCTGCGATCCATCGCTCGGCCTCTTCAGACCCCCTCGCGCGGTGGGAAAAAAGCACGACGGGAACCCTTTCGCTGTTTTGTCGGCCTCCCTGGGCCCTTACCGGCCCCTGGGAGCGTCAAATTGCAAGACTCGGGATCAGCAACCAGTCCCGGGGGGAAGGGGTCCAGACCTCCAGGGGTCGACGTCGTGAAGAAATCACAACGTCGGGGGTCTGGGTTTAGGTCGGGCGTGTCCTCCTACAAGCGGATTGTGGCCGACAAAATAATACATAGTCAAAAGATAAACCAACATGAAAAAAAGAGACATCCCCAGACTATGTTTTGCTGTTTTTTTGATATTCCTGCTGTAGAGGGACGTGCCCGACGTACACGTCGTTCATTTCTAATGGTGCTCATTTCTAATTGTGCTCGTTTCTAACTGCTCCTGGCCCCCAGCGGCCAGGAAGAGGCCCAGGAGAGAAGAACTAGAAATGAAAGGACCTTGGCCCCCCCTAAAAAAAGTCAAAGAACTTTCGAAGAATCAGAGATGCACAATGTGTATGTACCACAGACAGGATCGCGCCGTGAGAAAAATCAGGAGGGGAGGTTTTTTGTTCTCGCCGTGCTCGGCCTCGGGAGGCCCTCGCCGAGCCCCGGGGCCGCCCCAGAACGACGCGAGGTGCAGAACCGGTCCTGGGGAAGGGGCCGGGCCCTTCCAGGGCCGCCTAGGGCCGAAAGTCAGGACGCCGCAGTCAGAGGCGACGATCGCGGAAGAGGCGACCCCCCAAACCCTCCCAAACCCTCCCACAGAGCACACCAAAGCCTCCCAGAGCCTTTCAAGTCCTCCCACATCCCCCCTAAACCCTTCCAAACCCTCCCAGGATCATCCCAAGAGCTCCCAGAGCCTGTCAAGTCCTCCCAGCAAAATCCCCCCGAGACCCTCCCAAACCCTCCCAGATCACCCCAAAACCTCGCCAGCTCCTCCCGAGGATCGTCGAGATTCGAGGACGAGATTCGTGGATCGAAATTCGATCGAGATTCGAGGATCAAGGATCGAGCAGGATTTTTGGACGCGTCTCACCGTCTTGGGAGGTTCTGGAAGAGATCCTGTGGGGCCCTCCTCGGGCAGGCGGCGACCCCCTTGGGGAGGAGGGGCGGCGGAGCGACGGAGCAGACCTCCGCGGCCTTCCCACGACGGGCGGACCCCTTGTCAGCCGTCGGTGGCGCGCAGGGGCGGGGAGGTGGCCGGAAGGGCCGGGGGGAGGCAGAGGCGGGGGGGAGGAGGTCTCCTCCTCTGGGGGGGGGGGGAGGTCTCCTCCTCCTCTGAGGTGGGGGGGGGCTAAGGGGGGGTGGGGAGGGGGGGGGGCGGCGGGGAGGTAGGGGGGGGGGGGGGAGGGGGGGGGGAGGTCGGGGGAAGGAAGGGGGGGGGCGGGAGGAAAGGGGGGGGGGGGGAGGGGGGGGGAGGGGGAGGTAGGGGGGGGGGGAAGATAGGGCAGGGGGGTGGGAGGGAGGGGGGGCGGGGAGGAGGGGGGGAGGGGGAAGGAGGCCTCCTCTTCTGAGATCCGGGCGCTGCCACTCTCTGCACACCAGGCGTGCTCGCCCGGTGTCGGGCGCCAGGACCCTCACAGATCGACCTGGCTCAAAAAGTGCCGGGGAAACATGGGTCTCAGGCTCGGTCGCGAGTTTCCGCGATGTTGCAATCTGCTCCGCGGCGTCGAATCCCAGGGGCAAGGCGCGCTCGCGCTCCCATGGCCTTGATGGTTTCTTGATCCGCCGACGGGTATATCCCAGCGGACCTGGAGTCCCCCCAAAGGACCCCACTGCGCCAGGCGCAGTCACAGACCGAGGGAAGGTGGACGCGGAGGAGCCCTGAGATCCGACGCAGCGAAAGTAATGCAACATCGGAATACATATATATATATATATATATATATATATATATATAACACGCCCGGAGCCCTATGCCCCACATTTCTGCGTCGTGTTTCGAGCCGCATCGATCTGTGAGAGCCCCGGGCCCCGGGAAAAGAAACCGCGAAAACGTCCGGCTCGGACAAATTGAGACCCCAGGACCTCAGCGAAGAGGCAGAAACGGGGACAGGGGGGAGGAGGGGGACGCGCACGGAAACGAGAAGACGGGGAGGGGGACGCGGAGGGAAGCGGGGGGAGAGGAGGCAGGAAGAGGCGGGGGAGGGGGGGGGGGCCGGGAGAAGCAGCCACAGCAGGAGGGAGAGGGGGCGGAGGAGCAACGGAGGAGAGGGTGGAAGGGGCGGAGTGGGGAAACACTGGCTGCGGTCGACCTCGGGACCCCACCGCTGCCTCTGGCTGGCAGGCGATACAGTGCGGGCGCGGCCGCAAGAAACCCTGGCAAGAAACCCAACCCTGAAGACCCGCGCGCGAGGCGCACCCGAGGGGAAACCTGGAGCGCCCCGAGCGCGGCAGCTCCTCCCACGGCCGCGGGAGGTCACCGCGTTGCGCGCGGAGCGAAGAAGCCCAGGGCACCCTGACGAAGAGCAGACGGTTTCTTGATGCGCGCCCCACCCCAGACCCCCGACGTCGTGATTTTTTCACGACGCGACCCCCAAAGGTCTGGACCCCTTCCCCCGGACCGGTTTTTCATTCTGAATCGATTTTTGACGGTCCCGAGACCCGGCGAGGGCCCCCGGAGGCCGAAAATAGCGAAAAAAAACCCGTCGTGATTTTTTCACAACGCGAGGAGGTCTGGGACTGTGGGGGCACAACACACAAACGGCACGAGCATGATTTCTCGGAGCTCCGCGCGGGCTTCCCGGCCCGGCGCGGGGCCCCTCCCTCCCTGGCGCGCGGAGCGCGCCCAGGGGCGGCGCTCGAGGCGCCGCCATGGGAGGGCCCGGCGCAGATCCTAGAAAAGCCGCGTGGAGCTCCGAGAAGCTAATGTCTGCAGTAGGGGCTCGACCACGAGAAACCTTCCACAGGGGAGCCCGGCCCTGAGACCCCAGGACGTCCCTCGATGTTTGTGGTGTGGGCACGCCGCGCACCTGAGCTTGGCCAGGCTCAACCCCAGACCCCCGACGTCATGAATTTTTCATGACGTCGACCCCCAGCAGTCTGGACCCATCCCCCAGGACCGGTTTTTCGTCCTGAGTCGTTTTTTGACGGTCCCGAGGGCCGGTAAGGCCCCCCAGAGGCCGAAAATGGCGAAAAACCTCCCGTCGTGATTTTTTCATAACTCGAGGGGGTCTGGGACCAGGGTTCAGGATCGGCCTGGCCAAGATCGGTGCAGAGAGGCTGCACCAGCGGGTGCCCTCCGAGCCGTGGCCGGCGGGCGCAACCAACCGGGGCGGACAGCTCAGGGGGGCAGCACTGCATACGTCTCCAGGGGGCTCCGGCCGCGCACGTCTTCGGCGAGACCTCCCCGGCGACAGCGCGCGCTGCGCCCGCACCCTGGGCCTCGTTGCCTCCGCCGAGAGCGAAGGGGCCCAGGGACACGCGAGCAAATGCACACCAAGTCCCAAGATTCCCAGTCTTTCTCCTGCTTTCTTGATTCTCGTCTCCCCCCCCCCACTGCCCACGTCCCTGCCTCCTCCTCCTCCTCCTCCTCCTCCTCCTCCTCCAGCAATTCCCACGTCCCTGCCTCCGCCCAGAGTAGACGGAAGAGAAACATCGGCAGAAGCATAAGCCTGTGACGCTCCGCGCGGGCTTCTTGGATCTGCGCTGGGGCCCCCCTCCCTGGCGCGCCGAGCGCGCCAGGGGCACCAGGACGTCGGCTCCCAGGCGGTGGATATGGATGAATCCGCTTCTTTGGGGCCACACTTTCGCCCCGATGCGCGCACATCTCCAGAAAGGAACACAACCGGAAGGCCCTCAAACGGACATCGAGACCCTCCCAAAGCCTCGGCTGTACCAACGGATGGTGCCAGTGGCGGAAGACGATGGATGCCAATTGACGTTCTGCGGATGCCAACAACGAGCGCTATGGACGGATGCCCGCCACTATCTGGCGATGCCGGCTAGAGGAGGTGCTGATGGCTGATGGCGATGCCGCTTGCGGACTTCGGACCGAGCGCGTTGCACCTCGGAGGAAGGAAAACTGGGAGGGAGCTCGGCCGTAGAGGAATGAACAACGGCATAGACATGAACTGCCGGAGGTCCGCGCGGGTTTCTTAGACCTGCGCTGGGCCCTCCCTGGCGGCGCCTCAGGCGCCGCCCGTGGCGCGCTCCGCGTGCCAGGGAGGGGGGGGGCCAGCGCCGATCCGAGAAATCCGCGCGGACCTCCGAAAATGTATGCTCATGCCGTTCTTGCGAGGCGGGGATTTATCCATATCCGCCGCCTGGGAGCCGACATCCTGGTGCCCCCCAGCGGGCGGCGGATATGGATGCGTGTAGGCCCCTGGAGGCCATGATGTATCCATATCGACCGCCTGTCGAGGTCTCCGAAAAAAATCGACCCTCCAGGCGGTGGTTATATGTAAAAATTGAGCAGAGACCGACCGTCCCGGCATTCCAATCCAATAGGCCTACCACGAAGTGATCTCAGAGGCCCAAAATGCTCGATACACAAAAACACTGCTCTTAGAACACACGCCCGATGTGTCGAACCAAAACAGCCTTAGCAAGCCACGTTCTAAGGACATGTCGTGCAGGCTAGAAAAAAGATCTTGGACGCTTCGCCACCGCTCGAATAAGTCGCCGCCTCGGACTTCTCTGCCTCCGTTTTGGGCACCCGAAGTGGGCACGGAAAGAATGGGCACAATGCCCGACAACACATGTTGTCCCGAACCAGCAGCGGCCGCTGTTGGGCAGGCGGCCCTCTGTCTCAAGTGGACACCGGCCGCGGCGACACCGACAGCGAGTCCTGATCAAAATGAACAGGAGCTGCTGTTGGGCATTGTACCCATCCTTTCCGTGCCCATGTCGGGCGCCCAGATCCGCCGAGGCCGGCCCCCCCCCCCCCTGGACGGCCAGGGCCGAGCCCATCCCGGCAGGGAGAGAGAGGGCCCCGCGCCGCCCCCCCCCTGAAGAGAAAAACGCGTGCAAAAAAAAGCCGCGCGCTGGCTGCGAGCGCGAGGAGCACAGTGTATCGTCTTGGGAGGAAGGTCCGCGTGTTCTTATTCTAGGGGAGCAAAAAGTGGCATAAACATAAAAACTCGGAGGTCCGCGCGGATTTCTCGGATCAGCGCTGGGGCCCCCTGGCGGCGCCTCCGGCGCCGCCCCTGGCGCGCTCCGCGCGCCAGGGAGGGGGGGTCAAGCGCGCCGATCCGAAAAATCCGCGCGGACCTCCGAGTTTCTATGTTTATGTCACTTTTTGTTCCCCTAGTTCCTACACTGGGCGGAGGAGGGGGGGAGGGGAGGGGGGGTCTGGCTCCGGACCTCTGCTCGGTGCGGCTGCTTGGAGCCGTGCGTCCGCTGGGGGGGACTCCACCTGCTCGAAACAGGCGCCAAAAAGCAGCCAAGATCTACTCCATGGGGAGGGGGGGGAGGGGGGGGTGCGAGGGCCCGCGCCGATTGGCAAAACAATGAATCAAGAAACGATCACAAGGGGTTGGGAGGATGAGGAGCATGAGCAATAACATCCGGATGCACTGAACGATACCTTCGGCCGCCTACGATTCTAAATGCCATTTCCATTCCCAGACCCCCGACGCAATGATTTTTCCATAACGTCGACCCTGAGAGGTCTCGACCCATTCCCCTGGACCGGTGCTTCACTCTGAGTCGTTTCTGGACGGTCCCGAGGACTGGTAAGAGCCTCCAGAGGCCGAAAACATCGAAAAGCTTCCCGTCATGATTTTGTCCTTGCCCGAGGGGGTCTGGGGCTCTCCCAGCCCCATCCTCCCAACCCGAGACTTGTCCTCCCGACCTTGACGAGCGCGCTCCACGACTTGCAAAGCAACCACTCGCAAATGGCCTGGATCCGCCGTGGGGGATCTACGATGAGTTCCATCGAAGCAGGCATGTATGCGTCGGACGTTTGCGAGTGAGCACTCTTTGAGCAGGGACCCACCGTCCCGGCATGTCTATAGTCCTACCACGAAATGCTCCTAGAACCTAAGCATGTTGTAATAACAACACAATGTTCTTAGAACATAACCCGACCCGATGTGGTAAAACAAACCAGTCCCAGCCAGAAATGTTCTAAGAACATGTCGTGGGAACTTTAAATAGGGGGAAAACCAACCTACCTCGCTTTTGACCACCCTCGCTTCCAAGAGATACCAGACGATGCCAAACTGCGGCCTGCACTGGTCAGGCCGCCTGACGAGGAGGCGCGTGGTATGACTCGGTTTTTCCTGGAAGCGAAAGCGGGGTAGGTAATTCACGCTCTGAAACAAGAAAGAATCAGGAGGAAAAGCCGGTCCCGGGGAAAGGGTCGGGACTTCCAGGGGCCCCGTGCATTGTTCAGAATGTGCTAGGGATGTGTTGAGAAAAAGGCTTGAACGTTTTCAGATGTTCGAAGACGTTAAAAGGCTTGAACGTTAAAAGGCTGTCGGACGTATGCGAGTGGGCACTCTGCCAGTGGTGGCGCGCGTGCGGTGATGACCCGCTGCCGGCTGCAGGCGGCGCCGAGAGGCCAGGCGCACCCCGCCCGCAGGAGGCCGGAGGGGCAGGAGCGGGGCCGCCCCGGAGCACAGGGGGGGGCCTCCTCCCTCCTCCTCCTCCTCCTCCTCCTCCCTCCTCCTCCTCCCCTCCCTCCTCCTCCTCCCTCCTCCTCGTCCTCCTCCTCCTCCTCC